TAGACTACTTTGGTGAAACTTTTCAAGTGCCTTGATGTGTCTCCTGTATGAGACCCATGTCAAGCTGCCATATAGCAAGGTAGTGAAGACCACTGCTCAATATACATGTAACATTGTAGATAATTTCAGCTCCCTATAGCTGAAGACACGGTTTTGGAGCCTGCCAAAGGCTTAAGATAAACATCTGAATCTCTTCATCGATGTCTGTGGTGGTGGACAGGTGGGAGCCAAGATATCGAAAGTGGGTAACATTAAGAGAGGGTAGTACTGTTAAACTGGGTGGATGGTGGAGGTGTGGCTGAATGAGGGGCAGGTTGAATGAGAATCTGAGTCTCACTTACATTCACCTCAAGGCTGAAGTATGCATATGCATCTGCGTAGGTGTTCAGGGTCTCCTGTAGGTCTCGTTCAGTGTGAGCAACAAGGGTGAGGTCGTCTGCATACTGAAGTTCAGTAATGGAAGCTGCCAACACCTTTGTTCCTGCCTAGAGTCGTCTTATGTTGAAAAGACTCCCCTTCATCCGGTACTCGATGTCCACCCTAGGGCTAAATTGGCACTGGCACGAGTAAGGAAGGCAGCCAAGAAATTGGAAAAGAGATTTGGTGCTAGTACACACCCTTGTTTAACCCCTGCTTGGATGGGGAAAAACTCAGACTGGGTGCCATTGTGTAGGACACTGCTGTTTATGCCATCATGAAGTTGCCTCACAATGGCGATGAATTTTGGTGGGCAGCCAAAATGGCTGAGGGTCCACCAGAGGGCTTCTCTTCTTGACTGAGTCGAAGGCCTTGGTTAGGTCGATAAAAGCCATGTACAGGTTAGGACTCTGTTCTCTGCACTTTTCCTGTATCTGGCAGGCAGCAAAGATCATGTCAGTGGTGCCACGTGATGTTCTAAAGCCACATTGAGATTCTGGGAGGAAGTTTTCCTCCCAGAAGGACTCGGGTGATAATCTTGCCAGCTATGGGCAGCAGCGAGATCCCACATTTGATGCCACAGTCTGATTGGTCTCCCTTGTTCTTAAAAATATTGACGATGGAGGCGTCCTTAAGAGCTTGGGAGATTTCCTCCTTTTCTCATATATTCTCCAGGAGAGAGTGGAGATGGCTGGTAAGCAGAGGTCCTCTTGCTTTATACACCTCAGCTGGGATTCCATCAGACCCTGAGGCTTTGTTATTTTTCATCTGTTTGATGGCAATAGCTACCTCATCCAGGGATGGAGGATGGCTGAGGTGGGTTAGCTCTGGATTCCGAGTGACCTGCTGGGTTGTCAGCCCATCCACATCGGTGTTTTGGTTGAGCAGTGAATGGTAGTGCTCTTTCCAGTGCTGAAGGATGCTTTCATTGTCTTTAATTAGGAAGTTACCGTCAGATGAGCAGAGGGGGGCTGTGCCACAAGTGATTGGCCCATAAAATGTTTTAGTGGAATTGAAAAATTCGTGTATTTTGTGCTGATCTGCAAATTTTTTTGTTAAACATGCTTTATTTTTAAACCAGTCATTCCTTAGATTGCGAAGTTCGCGCTGGGCCGCCTCTTTCTTCTTGCGGAAGGTATCAGCTTTGGTCTGAGACTGAGGGTGGTTCTGCCAGTCAGTTAATACAGCACGTTTATCATTGATGAGTACATTGATTGCTGGGTCATTTTCATCAAACCAGCCCTGGTGTATTGTTTCGATCTGGCCAAGGGTCTCTCTGCAGGTTTTTGTCATGACAAGTGTCAAGAATACCCCATTCGGCACTGGGATTTGGGTTATTTGCTGTTGGGTTGTTTATCACCCCATGTTTGAGCTGCTCTCTGAAAGCATGTGCTACTGCTGGATCCTCCAGATGCTTAGTGTTAAAACCTCTTCTGGAGGCTTTCTGCCTGTGCCGTTTTGGCGGAACGTGAAGTGATATCTTGGCTTTGATGAGGCGATGATCAAGGTTGCAGTTTTCTGAGCCAGGCATGGCTCGAGTGATGACAACTTGGCGATCTCCTTCTCTGACAATGATGTAGTCAATGAGATGCCAATGTTTGGATCATGGGTGTTACCATGAACCCTTGAATTTGTTGGCCTGCCTATACTAGGTATTGGGACTAGTGAGGATGTGTGCAACACACTTGTTGAGGAGGAGTAGGCTGTTGGAATTAAACTTGCTTAGTACATTTCTCCTTATGATTCCCTGCCAACGTCAGCAACTCTGGCACTGAAGTCACCAAGGAGCACTCTGTCGAAGTTGGCGTAAATATCTCTCTCTCTCTCTCTGTCTGTCTCTGTCTGTCTCTGTCTCTCTCTCTGTCTCTGTCTCTGTCTCTCTGTCTCTCTCTCTCTCTCTCTCTCTCTCTCTCTCTCTCTCTCTCGAGAGAGAGAGAGAGAGAGAGAGAGAGTCAGTATGACAGATTTGCTGCGTGTGTTTGACTGCATGGTAGCGAGTTAAGTATCAGATATCAGCTGTTGAGGAATACAGGTTGTACCTCTCTAGTCCGGCATTCTGTGGTCCGGAAACTCCCGTGGTCTGGAACGATTGTAGTTTGTCCAATAGGTAGATAGGCAGCTTTTTTTTTTTCACTTATCTGAATTATTATTATTATTACAGGAGTATTAAATTTTTGCCCCTCAGGCCCCAATGTGGGTCAGTGACCTATGCCCGGGTGGGCTAATCCCCTTAAAAAAAAAAAGCCGCGGGAAATTAAGGTTTGTTTACATCCGGCAGTTCGGCTGCTCTCTCTCTCTCTGCTTGTCTATACAGAGTACAACATTTAACCCTTCAATATATATGAGCAGTAAATAAGTGTTGCTTTCATATTCTTATGTAGAGTAATGACGATATGTTTTCACATGTGCGCACTTACATACGAGCAGTCTCACTTTTTTTTTTACCATTAATGGTTAGCTACTTATATTGTTCCATTTATTAACATTAAATAACATTACAGGTACTTCAAACAACCATATTAATTTTTTTACATTAATTTTACTGCAGCTAAAATCAGGGTCTTATTTTCTTCAGTTTTATATGTAGAACCAATCAGTCACTGGTTTTGTAAGCTTTAACATAAACAATGCCGGCAGCCGTCTCGTCTCCTCTAATATTCCACGTATTATTAATAAATTGTATTGTTAATTTTGCACACACAAACATTAATTCAATAAAAAGAAATTCAGGAACATTAATTAAAATATATATGAACAGTAAATAAGTGTTGCTTTCATATTCTTATGTAAAGTAATGACGATATGTTTTCACGTGTGCGCACTTACATACGCGATCTCTCTTTTTTCTTTACCATTATCGTTAGCTACTTCTATTCTTCCATTTATTAACATTAAATAACATTACTTAAAACAACCATATTAATTTTACTACAGCTACAGCCAAGGTCTTATTTTCTTCAGTTTTATATGTAGAACCAGTCAGTCACTGGTTTTGTAATCAACGAAAACAATGCTGTGTCATTTCCTTGTGTGTTTTAATATTCTACGTATTATTAACGAAGTGTATTGCTTATTTTGCACACATAAACATTAATTCAATAAAAAAGACATTCAGTAATAAACAATAATGAATCTTTTATACATAAGAGAAATGACGCTGTTTACACGATTATGCCCGTCGTCTGCACGTTGGCGGGCCATTCAAACCCGTCGAAATTCAAGTTTCCGCCGTCAAAATTTTTATTTATTTATTTTTGTGTGTGTTCCAATAAAATACGTTAAGAATTAAAAACTCGCGAAATTTGAGAAGCTACTATACGACATTTAACCCTTCAATATGTCTTTAAAGAGACCATGATGCAGAGAAAGTGGTGCTAGTGCTTCCAAGCATAAGCACAAGTCACTATCTATCCAGGAAAAGGGTGAATTTCTATGGTCCGGCAATTTCCATGGTCCGGCAATTTCCATGGTCCGGCACCGGTCAGGTCCCGAGGTTGCCGGACTAGAGAGGTACAACCTGTACTTGATAACAATTATTTCCACTCATCTCTCTAATTACCCACACCTTTCTGCTTTCTCACTCCATATTTTAAAATGTTATGTAATGCAATGTTGAAGGGATACAGCTTTACTCATTTATACTTATACTTATCACAATCTTCCTAAAAATACTTTAGTTTTCATGTTTATTCAAGACATCTTCAGGTCATGAGGCCCACTAATCCCCCACCCAAGAAAGGGTGACCTGACATTCCATCAGAAGGTCAGTAATATATGAGACCACTAATCCCCCACCCTACCTCCAACTGACATTGCATCAGGTGAGGACAGTTACATGAGACCCACTTATCCCCCACAGCTCTATGGGAGTGGAAATAACAGTCTTTGCTGTAACACACAGCTTCATTCATGCCCATACAGTATCATATAGGTTTTTAATTTTTATAAATATATTTTTTAAGCAAACTTTTAGATAAACTCTTCTGTATTATTATGGTAAAGAAATGGAGTTTCTAACTTAATTAGAACTGCATTTATGAAGTCCATTAGTTTAGACACAAGGAAAACATCCCCAGCACCCAGAAACGTTCTGGGGAAGTGGGCTAGCTCCATCAGTGCAAGATGTCTAGTTTTGACACTCGGAAACTTTCCCAGTAACCGGAAAAGATTCCAAGGATAAGAATTTTTTCCGGGTTTGAGAAAGTCGTCTGGTTAGCTTGAAATCTGTCATCTCCGGAAGTGAGCTGCACCAGTTGTTCTGGCTAATGGGGATATCACTGTATCAGCTTCAGCCCCATGCCTTACTGATAACAAAGGAACCATCTTTTATATACCACATCTCTGGTGAATAAAACATTACATCCCAGCCGAGTCTACTAAAAACTGAGTTTCCTTTTGAAAGTGCTTTTTGCTTTCTGACTTTGTACTTACATGTGTCTGTGTAAAATAGTGTTTGCTAAATATGTTTTTTAATGTTTTCAGTGATGCAGAAATGCTGCTGTAAATAAGTGTTAATACTTTATTTGCTATTTTTAGGTTTCTTCTTGACTTCTATTATTTATATTCTAAATTGTATTCCACAGCAAGCAAAAACAATGATTCCAGCACACGACAGTCCTCTAGCAATCATTGCCTTCAATGCTTCTGGTACTAAGGTAGGTGCTCAGTTTTGTCTATATAAGAATTAAACTCAATAAGATTTTATTATAATTGTTAATTACATCAAACTTTCTCACTAAATTAATAATTTGGGTTTGTTTAATTATCCCATAATATCTACTTATCCCATCATCAAAATTACTTCTTAATTCTGGAATTTTGCTTCAATTTGCCCCATAATTCCAAAGAAATTTTTGATATATATGGGATGTGTGGATAGATATTTGATATTAGAAAGCCTAGTGTTATGTATTAAAATCTCTAGTTAAAAGGAAGGTGACTTTTTTCAATACTCTCAATGGTCACTTGGTAAATTTGTTAAGTAAGATATTAACCGGCAGGTTGAATAAGAGCCCAAGACAATAATAAGAAAGTACAGGGGGCCCCCTAAATTCGCGGGGGTTAGGTTCTCAAACTGCTAATCGCCAAATCCGCGAATAACATTTACTGATCGGTGGGGTGGGGGGGGGGGGTAGTACATTTTTACTTGTGTACAAAGAAATGTATATTCCCTTTATGTGTTTGCCTTTAGGACAATTATTTCTTTTACCTGTATTGTATATAGTATCGTATTTGCCGGCGTATAAGACGCGACAGTGCATAAGACGCACCCCTATTTTACAAGGATATTTTGTGGAATTTTTTTTTTTAGTACGTATCATCATACAATTATTGAAAGTGATTTTAAAGTGGTTTTGTAGTGGAAAACATATGATTTTGTGCATGTAAATACAATATATACAGTGGTCCCTCGGTTAACGAATGGTTCGGTTAACGAATTACCTTCCGTAAGAATCTTCAATTCGGTTAACGAACAAAAATTTGATTGACGAAATCTTTACGAACATCACGTTTTGTTGTGAGACATCAGCTGATGGGCTAGTTTGCCAATTCAGTAATTCAGTAATCTGTTCTATGTTTACATTCGTTTCCAGTAGAGTAAATATCAAGAAAATTGTGCTCTTTAATATTTGTGCATTTTTTATATTAAAATTATTGGTCGTTCTAAGATTTAGCCATTCAAGCTCTGTCTACATAAAGTTTTTCAACTATTATTTTTGGCTCGATATATGTAACTTTATTCATTTATTGAAACTCATTTACGTGCATACACTGTCCTAAGGGCAAAGCTGTACTGTACATGTAATCAAAATAATGTACAAAATGAATACTGATATTTTAATCTAGTGCAAACTATTGCATGTTTACATTCAAATTAATCACTATCTTATAAGAATTCCAGCAATGTAAATTATATACGTACTCCCAAGTCACTTCTATGAAATTTTATAAGCAAAAAACAAAAACTCAATCTAAAAGACATAAATAAACAAATAAATACTTCACTAGACCTTCGGCGCCAACTGTCAAACATGTCATTGTCACCCCTCCCTCCCTCCCTCCCTATCCCCCCCTCCCAGCAAGGGTTTGGTGGTTATACAGTAGGCTTTAAGTTTTTATCTTATATAATATCACAGACTAAAGTTAGGAGAATATAATTTGCATTGCTGGATTCCTTGCAAGACAGCGAATAATTTGAATATAAAGTCATATATTTTGCACAAGAGATAAAAATTGTAGTACATTAGTGTACAGTACTGTAGTACATTTTTATAATGTAAAGTTTTTCAACTGTATTTTTGGGTAGATTTACATAAATTTTTTCATTTATTTTCATTCATTTACATGCACACACCATACTAAAAGAAACGTAAAAGAAATAAATGACCTAAGTGCAGACCTGTAGTGTACATGTACTAAATGATAACGGTACTAAAATTGTTATGTCTAGTGCAAATAATAGCTTGTTTTTTATTCAAATTAATCACTATCTTACAAGAATACCAGCAATGTAAATTATATTTTCCCAGGTCATTTCACTGGCATTTTATAAGAGAGAAGCTTAGTGACATTATACTAACCCATCTCTACCTCTGATCAGAGCAGCTGTGTTGCTTGTTTATATTTTGGTCAAGAGAATTACTAACAGGATGTGAAACTTGTATTTTTGGCTGTGATGTTTTGTGTTGCCGCGATTTGCCACCAGGGTGTAGCACCATCGCTATTGCTTTGGCGTCATCGACTCATTGCAAATGGCTGACTGGCGGCTGAACTTTCTGTAAACATTTCTTTTATCTTTCTAGGGTCATTTTTCATTTAGATAATAAACAAATGTTTCTTAAAGGTAACACAGTTGTTAAATAATATAAGACATGTATCTGGTGTGGGTTACGTATGCTGGGGAAGGAGGTACAGTGAGATGTTGTGAGCTTCCCGCTGCCGTTAAGCCAATGTAAGTCATTATTTATGTCTTCGGCAAGTTTGTGATAATTTGGCTCGTTTTTCAGTATTTTATTATTAGTTATATTATTTGTAACACAATTTTTGTGCTTAGTAGACTACTGCTCGTCCCAGACTCCCTAACTAGGCACCTCCGCCTCCCATCCGTAATATGGGCGCATTAGACGCAGGGTAATTTGTGATACTTTTTTTTTTGTAAACAGTGTCTTATACGCCGGTAAATACGGTATGTGTGTGTGTGTAGACACACGCAAAACACATACAAATAAATAATAATGGGAAAATAATTCACAAATATTCAGAAAAAAATTTATTAAAAATGTGACATACCCAGGGTGACGCCGAACATTACCTGACGCGGCCAAAGCTTGACCCACACAGGTGTGAGGTGTTAGTTGTGTCTCAGCAGAATATAACTTGCATGCTGGTATCCTTGCAAGACAGCGAATAATTTGAATATACCTGTACAGTATACGTATATCATATATTTTGAAAAAGAGATAAAAATTTTAGTCCTAAAGTGTAGTACAGGTCGTACCTCTCTAGTCCGGCATTCTGTGGTCCGGAAACTCCCGTGGTCCTGAACGATTTTAGTTTGTCCAACAGGTAGATAGGCAGTTTTTTTGTTTTTTTTGTTTTTGTTTTTACTTATTTGAATTATTATTGTTATTACAGGAGTATTAAATTTTTGCCCCTCAGGCCCCAATGTGGGTCAGTGACTTATGCCCGGGTGGGCTAATCCCCTTAAAAAAAAAGCCGCGGGAAATTAAGGTTTGTTTACATCCGGCAGTTCGGCTGCTCTCTCTCTCTCTCTCTCTCTCTCTCTCTCTCTCTCTGCTTGTCTATACAGAGTACAACATTTAACCCTTCAATATATATGAGCAGTAAATAAGTGTTGCTTTCATATTCTTATGTAGAGTAATGACGATATGTTTTCACATGTGCGCACTTACATACGAGCAGTCTCACTTTTTTTTTACCATTAATGGTTAGCTACTTATATTGTTCCATTTATTAACATTAAATAACATTACAGGTACTTCAAACAACCATATTAATTTTTTTACATTAATTTTACTACAGCTAAAATCAGGGTCTTATTTTCTTCAGTTTTATATGTAGAACCAATCAGTCACTGGTTTCGTAAGCTTTAACATAAACAATGCCGGCAGCCGTCTCGTCTCCTCTAATATTCCACGTATTATTAATAAATTGTATTGTTAATTTTGCACACACAAACATTAATTCAATAAAAAGAAATTCAGAAACATTAATTAAAATATATATGAACAGTAAATAAGTGTTGCTTTCATATTCTTATGTAAAGTAATGACGATATGTTTTCACGTGTGCGCATGCGCACTTACATACGCGATCTCTTTTTTCTTTACCATTATCGTTAGCTACTTCTATTGTTCCATTTATTTCCATTTATTAACATTAAATAACATTACTTAAAACAACCATATTAATTTTACTACAGCTACAGCCAAGGTCTTATTTTCTTCAGTTTTATATGTAGAACCAGTCAGTCACTGGTTTTGTAATCAACAAAAACAATGCTGTGTCATTTCCTTGTGTGTTTTAATATTCTACGTATTATTAATGAATTGTATTGCTCATTTTGCACACATAAACATTAATTCAATAAAAAAGACATTCAGTAATAAACAATAATGAATCTTTTGTACATAAGAGAAATGACGCTGTTTACACGATTATGCACGTCGGCGGGCCGTTCAAACCCGTCGAAATTCAAGTTTCCGCCGTCAAAATTTTTATTTATTTATTTTTTGTGTGTTCCAATAAAATACGTTAAGAATTAAAAACTCGCGAAATTTGAGAAGCTACTATACGACATTTAACCCTTCAATATGTCTTCAAAGAGACCATGATGCAGAGAAAGTGGTGCTAGTGCTTCCAAGCATAAGCACAAGTCACTATCTATCCAGGAAAAGGGTGAATTTCCATGGTCCGGCAATTTCCATGGTCCGGCACGGTCAGGTCCCGAGGTCGCCGGACTAAAGAGGTACAACCTGTACATTTAAGTACAAGTTTTTCAACTCGTATTTTTGGGTAGATATTCATAACTTTCTTCATCTATCTTTATTCATTTACATGCACACACCATCCTAAATACATATTGTGAGAAAAGGAAAAGAAATAATTGTCCTAAGGGCAAACCTTTCCTGTACTCAAATGTACTCTACTAAATAATTGCTAAAATTCTTATGTCTAGTGCAAACTATAGCATGTTTATATTCAAATTAATCACTTACTTACGAGAATTCCAGCAATGTAATTTTTATTCTCCCAAGTCAATTCATTGACATTTTATTAGCTAAAAATTTAAACTTCCTTTGTATGACTGATGATGATGTTTGGGTCAGTAATCTCCCCGCCGGCTGGTCAATACCTCACCCCCCCCCCCTCCTCCCCCCTGCCCTCAACCACCGACACACCCATAGTCTCGCCTCCACCTTAGTGTCTCTAGAACAAATGGCTCCCCGTCCCAGCCGCGAAAATGCCGGCAATTTTAAAACTACCCACAGACATTCTTGGGTACATCCAGTGTGTGTCATCCGTGAATAACAGAGGACTGCGAAAGGAAAATCCTTGAATTTGGGTGCCCCCTGTACTGTACTATGAATGGACTTAGCCTGATAGATGAGTTGGTTGGTTTGATTCACGTAGGACTGCAGAGACCAGTAGAGACTACACAGCACCGGAGAATGTAAAGGATACATAAACCCATGGGAAACTTATATTAAGCGGGGAGGGTGTGAAAGTAAATAAGCTTCTAGGAGTGTACAGGTACATGGCTTTTTATAAGCATGGTGTTGTGATGTCACTTTTCAATTTTAATTGGTGAGTGGTTAATAGTTCCGGCCACGTTGAATATCTGGCAAGATGAGGGGGGAAGGGGGGGGTAGAAGCGGCAGCGACAACTTGGCCCCTCACGTGTCGGCTCACGTGTTGAGGAACTGTCCATGGTGCTATTTTCATTACAGTGGTCCCTCGGTTAATGAGCACAATCTGTTCCAGCATGTTGCTCGTTAACCGAAAAACTTGTTAACCGAAACCATTGTTTCAATGGGTTTTTGGGTAATTGGTTCCAGTTCACAGAAAATTGCCAAAATTCAACAAAAAATGTAGAAAAGCACACTTACTTTGAGGTGTGTATGTAGAAGGCTCCTGGATGATGATGATGATGATGATGATGGGAATTAGAATGGGGATGGAGGAGAAGGGAGAAGAGAAGGCATTGGGGTGGAAGAGAAGTCACCCCATGGCGCCATTTCACCCATAAAATTTTAGTTCTCTTGGTGTAATTCAAGATTATTTTCTTTAAATCAACACTGCACTGCATTATATATTGTCAATATGTAAAATAAATTTCAAAATGACCAATAATTTGCTTGGAAACACAGAAAAAAAGCATTTAGTTGAAGAGAGTCTCAGGCAATATGTTACCTCCACTGAAAAGAGAGAGAGACTAACGCCTGTTTGTGTGTTAACAGGCTGGATGGCGTGGCAGAAACTAGTTTCTTTACCTTCAATTATGTTCAATAATTGTTAAAATGACTAAAAAATATTAATATTAAACTTTTTGAATTATTGAATAGTATAAACTTCTTGATATTTACTAAAATAGTAAGGAATTTAAGCCCTAAAACCGATTACTGTATTGGCGGACTAATACTACAGCTGGTGGACCGCCAAATGCAAGCGGAAACATGTTGAGGTCGACTTGTAAAAAACTCGTTAATCGAGGGATTGCTTGTTAACCGAAGTTAAGAATCTTATGGAAGGTAACTCGTTAACCGAGGCGCTCGTTAACCGAGGGATCACTGTATACGTGACACTAACACGATAAAACCTAATATATGCCTGTATATGCTAGAGACTTACCTTACTTTGAAATTGATATGAATATACCAAATATAAAAATAGTTAACCTACCTGTTATTTGTTTCCTTGTAGTGAAAAAGAAAAATGAGATACTTTGGTCATATAATTAGGAATGAGAGGAAAATAACAGAAATATTAATGGGCAAAGTTGAGGGTAGGAGTGCCAGGGGAAGGCAGAGACTGGGATGGAGGAATGAAATTTAAAACTGGGTCCCCAGAGAGATAAAAAACCTTGGAGAAATGATAAAAAAGCCCGAGAATGTTTAGAGTGGAGGGCAGTGGTCGCCATCCCTCAGATATGAGGATGTTACTCTGACTGATTGATTGAGTGAAAGGTTGGGCTGTGATATTGGAACTGATGTTGACTTGGTAATAGCACATTGTAACCGAACAAGTGAGGGTGATTGAATTCCTTTTTGCAAGTGAGAAGGCAAAGACAATGACCTTCTCACCTACCTTAAGCCTGCTGTTTCTATGTATTTTATTATCTTTTAATGATACTATGGAATCATGATAATTCAGAATGGTTGGGACCAAATGGTAGCCAAATTTTGGAGGAGTGAAGTGTATTGGAGCCTAGAATCCTTGTATAATACTAGTAATAGAAGCTCCGAAAGTTGTTGGTAGCGAAAGTCAGAGTAGGGAAGATGACAGAGGAAGTAGCAGGGGGTTAGGAAGGGAATTGTATAACATGTGTTATATTTGATTTAGCACAGAGCGCACGAATTGGGTTTTTGTCTGTGTTGGGTGTGTGATCCTCGGGTCACCACTCCTCCGGATTGTGTTAGATACGAGTAATAGAAGCTCCAACAACTTTCCCTGAATGCGAATTCGCAGTTTTTCGATTTACAACAGGTACCTACCTTCTGCTAGGTGAACAGGGACCAAGGGGGCTAGGAAGAGTGTCCAAACAACTTTCCGCCGGCCCGGGAATCAAACCTGTGACATCTCGCTTGGGAGGCAAGAGTGGTACCGCTCTACCACCTGCGCCCCTTCCTTGTCTAACATTACCTAAATTTACCATTTGTTGCTTTTTGTACCTAAATATAAAGTTTAAAGGTATTTAATGTTTCATTAAAGAGTTCTTGCACTATCACTTGCGATGGGTCTCTCCTTTATCAGTTTCTCTTGAAAACTGCAGACATAATATCTTGCTCAGCCTGCACCCAGGGCACCCCTAGTTCTCTCAACTGTAAATGGGTAGGTGTCTAACTTTATAGTTGGGAAATAAAGGTAACAAGGTGTCTACTGAAGGCTTAGTATGCTGTATGTACACTGCCCTAATGGATCCACTTTTTCATTTCATGGTACAGTACTTGCATATGACAGAAAAGCTTAAGCTAATTTTTGGATAGTTCTAATTACATGTTGGGATCCTAAATGCCTTGGGTTTTGGTAGTGTGGTAGTTAAGGGTACATGTTTTAAGAGATGGAGCTGTACATTAGTTGTTTGATGCATTGTTGGGTAGGAAATCGGATTCAAGGATCAATCCCTCATAATTAAATTTTATTCTTTTATTAGTGGAAATATGACTGTTTTCTTTTAAGGTTCAGTATTTCATATATAAATTGATATGTTTACAGAACAATGTTATATTTTCATGCACTTTTTTCAGATTGCCACAGCGTCTGAAAAGGGCACAGTGATAAGAGTGTTCAGTGTTGCGGACGGGGCCAGGCTACATGAATTAAGGCGCGGAATGAAACGATGTGCCACCATTTTCTCCTTAGCATTTTCTCCAGACTCTCTCTTCCTTATTGCATCATCCAACACAGAGACAGTTCATGTTTTTAAGTTAGAAGAAATTAAGGACACGTAAGTTAATGATTCAAATGCAAATAGAGATGTATACTTGTGTAAGTAAGTATTTAGCATACTGTTATTGATACAGTCATTCCCTTACCTTGCATTTATTTATCATATATGAATATACTGTCACTTTCATGAACATTACATACATGGCTATTTGTTTTAACTTATCTTACTAATAATACAGGCAACGTGTGGTGGTGGAGGAACAGCAGGGATTGATGGGGTGGATGAGTAAAGCAGTGACTGCATCTGCCAGCTACTTGCCTGCTCCTGTGACTGACATGCTGAGTCAGGGTCGAGCCTTTGCTACAATAACTCTCCCATTCCAGGGTGTTCGAAACGTCTGTGCCATTGCTACGTCAGTATACAATTTTACTGGTATATTTATGTACATTTTAATTTTTTTTGTAATTAACGTACAGTACTTGATTATTTTGGGGACCTTATGAGTGACCTGCAAGGTACACCAATGTTAAGTGCCCCCAGGCACTGCTTGCCCTGGAAGTACAGGAAAATATCTATACAGAAAATCCTGTACTGCAATCAAGACAATTAACAACCTTCTCACATAGTTAGATCTGGATGTGGTTGTTGACTTGTGGACCAAGAAAGCATCAAATTAGGAGACATTAACTATTGGGATTTACTTTATTTTGAAGCCTACCTCAGTGACACAGTTTCATTTGTAAATATTTTAAGTTCCCTGCTTTTAGCAGAATTGTGAAAACCCCATTTTTGGCTGTAACCCTTGCTCTTGTAATACAGTCAAAGCTCAGAAGTTCAAAAATCGAGAACTTGTAACATTCAAGAGATGCATGATTTCAGATTTAAAGTGTGAGCCAAGATAAGTGTGACTGGGAATTTTGGCCACTATAAACTGTGTGTTCCGTTACACACTCATTCAGTGTCTCATAGCCTTTTGCATTGTATTATTTGCTATAACTGTGTCACTCATTATCACCATCCTCATAATTGTCATCACTGTTTTATGGCCATTTACCAAATTTGCATCTGTTAACCGTGATTACCTGATATGAGCTCCTCAAGCTGGATGATCTCTTGCAACCTTTCATCAGGCTCTTATCTCTGAGGTAATTCTTTTTAAATTCAGAAGTTTTATCCTAACAATGTCTTCCAAGAAAAGACCAAGTTTTTAGTAATGCCTGCAATAGTATGAAGAGGAAGCATATAACTTAATATTCTGAAAAGAAGCTAAAATATTACAAAAACTAGTTAAGGACATTTCAGCATACAAACTTGCTGTGCGGGACAGCATAGTGTTGGAAATATTATGCAGTTCATGATATCAAGAGGTAGCACATTAGAATTGTGAAATTCTTTGCTGACAGTGAAGCAAACAAGGAGAAACATCAACAGAGCTTGATGCAGTGGTATATAAGTGGTTTAAATAATGGACAAGTGAAGGGGTTCCTGTTGTCCCTTTTTGTATGAATTTTGGCTGAGACAGTTTAGCAATTTTTTTGGCTGTTTTCTTCTCAAGTTGGCATTTTTTTGGCTGGTTATTGACTAAAGTGTAATATGTAATAAATGCATAACCAGTAATATAAATATGGCATTTATACAGGTATTCTTCATTTAGTGTTAATTCACTTAATGTTAATTTGGTTTAGCAGAAAAAAATTTGACACCCATTCCCACTTACTGTAACTTAGGTAAAAATTTGGATTAGCGATAGCTCGACTCACTGGGAAGGGGAAAAATAGGGGGTGAGGTGGCCTTTGAGATGGCATGTTACTATTGTTACATGTAATGAACTATAAAAGTTGTGGAATAATCATTACCATACTCTAATGTGGCTTAGAAATAAAGAAAATAAATCTTAGAAATAAAGAAAATAAATCTTTGAAATAAAGAAAATAAATCTGAAATAAAGAAAATATAATATAAAACAATGAAAAAGAAATGAAGAGCATACCGGTAGGTGTGCGTGTGTGGCAAGTGAATGTAAGTGTTGACTCGTGGAGGCAGTGGGCTATAACTGTGTTACTGACTCGTCACCCACCTGCTTTCCCTCCCCCGATGTGACGTCATGGCACACATACACACACGCATGCACGCACGCACATACAGCACAGTAAGATCTCATATTTTGCGTGATTTCATTTCGCGTTTTTTAATTTTGCGAGCACTACCTAATGTAACCAAGTCTTATATTTGGCGTAAAATATCTTGAGTTTCATGAGATCCAGCCAGCTGAACGCGAGATCCAGCCAGCTGAACACGAGATCCAGCCAGCTGAATGCTGGCCCTCATACCAGTTAGTCATTTCTGCTACAACACGTGTTTTGTCAACTCGTGTTTTGTCAACGCGTGTTTTGTCAACGCGAATTGGTTGTAACGCGATTGATGAATAGGGGAACGCTGTTTGTAAAATAAGAACTTTTGCATACGAATGTTGGCTATAACACGATTCCATCCTCAATGTTTTGATTCCATCCTCAACGTTTTAAGGGTATCGCGGGGTTATGCAATGTTTACAGTTCACGTTCGACGTCACATGTTCAATTGATTCGTGTCATTTGTTTGTGAAGTATTTTGTGAGAGGTACTCTGTAAATTTCATTCTTTTTTTAAAATTTAGCTGTTACTCATAAATACTGTATGAAAAGAATAAGTAAAAAGAATGTTTCACACTGAGGACTAATAACGGTTTACACCAGTGCTCTCTGTTTACATCATGTGATCCGTTGAATCGCGCGGTTTCTGTCGATTGCCAGGTGATTTTTGCTGCTTTCTCCAATTTTGTTGTGTTAGCGATGAATATGGAAAGACAAGGTAAGAGGAAAATTTCCAAAAAGCGTTCTGGTGATCGAATTGCCGGTGATGAACGTAAAAGAGGTTTACAAGATCGCAACTATCGCGTTGTAGCCCGCTCCATCCTAGCGACTGCCCGGGCTGCAATTATGTGCTTTTTTGGGTAGTGCTACCACCTGTCGAGTCAAGATAATGGCCTCTACCTCAACTGGGGGTCCTACTGGTGCTGGTGGGACAGATCCACCTAAGCGGCCAAATAAGGAAAAGAAGAAGCGGGACTATCATAAGGGAGTTAAGTTTGCCAAGTACTCGATGCAGGATAAGCAGCGTGTGATTAAATTACTTGAGGAAGGCCTAAAAACTCGTTTCTGGAAAGCACAATCAAGTCAATAAAGGCAGAATTTGTATCATTTGGAGGTTATAAATGGGAAAATCAGAGGTTGATGTAGAGTGGCCAGTCTATATTGTTATTTTCACCATTAGTTTACGTATTTGCATTTGGCGAATTTGAATTTGGTGCAGTTTTTCCAGTATATTACTCACAAAATACAAGATCTTACTGTATGTATCTCGGAGTTAGCTGGGTGACTGCCCTGCTGAACTGTGTCATGTCATACAGAGGATGGTTTGAGTGTGGAAGGAGCCATTTTTTTTTACATAAAATATGTGATATTGTATTTTATGATATGCTATCTATTGATTTTATTGTTTATCATAGGAATTATTGTTAATATTTTACGTATGCAATTTAAAAATTTTTTGAATTAGGTTCTCCTTGTGGTCACTGAATCGTTCAACTCTGAATCACATTGTTTATATAAAAATTTAATATTATTAAATTAATCGTATAACTTTGAAACAGTTTATAACAAACTTGTTTATTATTATTATAAGGGAGACTTCTCAGTGTTTAGTGCCCTGCCATTTGAATCTGCTTTGTTTTTATCCCTCATTTCGTGATAATTTTGCTTAATGTTAATTTTGTTCTGGAACGCAATCCATTGTTAAATGAGAGTTACCTGTATGAGGCTTTGCTCCTTAATGTTCCCACACTGATCAGTTTCTGACTTGACAATCACCTGAGGTTGACTTTGACAATCACTCAGTGACCCAAGGACCCCCTCCTCCCTGGGCCCCTTCCTCTTTCGCCACTGAGTTGCAGTAAGCTAGTACACTTGATCCAAAAGATTATCTTTAAGGAGGGGTCCGATAAATTTTATAATGAACACAGTGACTCATGTTGTCTTGGTAGAGTTGTCAAAATCCTTCATTCGTTGTGTCATATTGTCAGGCGAGTGTACTTTGACCATTTCTTTGTGTGAGAATTACAGTGTCATTGGCGAGACTACAACTGACCTGGCTGGCCGACTTAGGTTAAGGGGAGATTCCTGTATTTGGTGTAGGTGCCTTTAATTTTGGCCCATTGTTATGATATTCCTGTCATCATTCAAGGATCATATGTACATCAATTCTAGCCCCTTAACCCACTTCTACCCTTTCAATTTTTTCAACCCTTTACACATTTTCTCACATTTTCAAGGTATAATTTCTCCAGTACTTCTTTTTATTTTGCCTTGAAGTTGATAGTGCTAAGGTATCTAGTATTGTCATTGAATATTAAACAGCGATATGTTTTTAAATACCCTGTATATAAATTTTTCAAGTTTGGTTGAAATTTTCATAAAAATATCGAGATTAAATATTCAAACAAAAATAAATCTTAAAAGGTAGAAAAAAAATTGGAATCTGTGGCTATGCTGAGGAAAGGTTCTTCCTGGGTTGAGTGTTTGTTTCATTGAAATCGGTCAAAAACTGGCAGAGAACTGTCAATCTTAGTCTTGGAAATGTTCATTTTGAGATACAGGCCAATAAAGTTTCTCAACCTTTCTCCCCTGTGTACTGTAAGTGCTCATTTTGAGCCGATTTTACATGTAATATTTTTTTATTTTATTTTATTTATTTTTTGCATCTCCAACTGAACTCCAGTTATATTTCTTATTCTTCAGGCAATTCTGGTCCTCCCGTTACCTTGTTGAGGCAGGGTACTACCTTAGTTGAGAGGTGCCCACACTTCTCCTTGTTGCCAGGTTTCATCAAAAGGCTCCTAGTGCATAGTCTGGTGTGCTTTTCACCCCAGTCTTTCTTTTAGGCCTTGTCCTCGGTGTTGAGTGCCTCTTACGATAGACATCTTGGCATTCCAATGATTTTTGAAGGGCCAATGAGTCCATGTTCATTTCTTTTAGAAATGATGCTTTCTGTTATCCAAAATTGTGGTTCAAGATTGCGGTCTTTGCAACAAACTGGACACGACGAAGCCCAGCAAACTTGGTTTTGTGTGCCCGTGCCCACATCTTGGCATGAAAACTTTCATTTGCATTTTGAGTCAGCCCTCAAAGGCATCTCTCCAAGATGTCCCTTGTTGACAGTGCCATGTAGATTTCTCTTATCTTTTTCTGTGCTTTTTCGGATACATTGATGACTAGAGACCTCCCCTTGTGTGCGATGTCTTCCTCCTTTTTTCCTTTTGCTATTCCTTTTTGTAAAAATCACCAGGCGTCAGATCCCATAGGGCATAGTCTATGTC